TTAAACAAAGTATTTAAGATAGAATATGAGAAACAAATCCTTAAAAACGAAACAAAAATCAAAAAAGTAAACTATCTAGAAGAATTATTTAATCAGCTATGATATAATTCACTTCAATAAATCAAAAAATAGGTTTTATAATATCTCACCTTTTCTGGTTAAAATAATACTTAAAGAATATAATATTAAAATAGAAAATAGATAATATTTTCATGAAATTTTATTATAAATTTTTATTTTAAATCTATATTTTCCTTAACACCTAAATAATACTGTCATAAATTATAATTTGAATTAGTTGTATTTACTATTTTCTTTAAATATACATAATTTATTTTTGTTACCATAACTTTCTTTTATTTTCGTAAATCCATACACTATTTTACATTTTATTTTAACATTTTCCTATGTACTAATACTACAGATTTATTAACATATATTTATTTTATTTACAAATAAACATTTTATATCTAATTTATTAATTGTTAAAGTCTATAAAAAATTCAATATTAACTACAGCATTTTTAAGTGAAAAGATTGCCATAGTAATTATTGTTCTATTTTTTTTTTTTCACTCATTCTTGTGAAATTCTTATTAAATGAAACACTGGCATCAGAATAAAAAAAAATTCAACAACCAACCGGTTTTCACTTAGTCCACCTAAAATACAGATAAATGTGTCTATATTAGAATATATATAAAGTCAGATAGGTATCTGAACCAAAATTTATCTCATATATCTGTTTTAAGATGTATGATAATTTAAAATATTCTCTAAAACCAAAAAAAAAGTGAGTCACATTAAGAGAATGACTTTTCAAACTTATCAGCAAAAAAAAGTATATTTTCAAATCTAAGTGAAAGATTTATTAATGTTATAGAATATTAGAACATTTTTTAAATGTAAATTCTGTATTTTATTCATTAAACATTAATCCTCAATAGTATAATACCAGATGTTAAGAAGAATATCACCTATTTATCTTATAAAAATGAATAGATAATCCTGCTTTCAATTTTAATAGCAGACTTTCCAAACAGACACTTCAACAGTGACAAAGTTATAATCCTTATCTGATGATAGATTTTCAGAAGGTTAGATCAGATTATGTCATTACTTGTAGAATAGCACTCTTTGAATTCATGTACATGACAAAAAAATTTTTTAAATATTACCATTATTAATTCAGAAGCAGAATTGATTCTTGCATTTCTTTACTGTAAAAGAATTGAAAGACAACTAAGCATAAGCCGGAATCAAGTTCCACTATTGCTATCAACTTTTAATGAGTCTTTCTTTGACAACTTGAACAGTAACTTATTCCATAATTTTAAGGCATTACCAAAAGATAATACACATCTTACTCCCTTATAATATGAATAAAGTATTATTTAACAAAAACAATATTAACAAATAATGATAATAGGTTATCTCGGAAATTCAAACAGCAAATTAAAATAATATTCCAATTAATTTCATTAAAAATGAAGGAAACTGAGATATTTGTCAATTGTTCACTTGTGAAATTAAGACAGGTCTTAACAGGTCATATTCACCATTAAAACAAACAATATATAAAAGGTTGAGAAAGAAGAGTTGTATCACTTTCTCCAAAGAAAAAAATTTTAACAAAGTGGAAAGATAAATTTTAAATTATTCAAAAATGTTATTAGGTTAACTCATTTAAACAGGTAAGAACTTTAAAGTTGAAATAAAGGCAGTTCTTTCATACTTCTGGTAATCATAAGATTATCTCCCTTGTTTAAGGAAGAATATTGGAGGCCAAGGGAGTTTTGATATCATAATTCTCAATTTTATATTTCAAAACAGATGTAGGTGACAAGAAACCCAATATTTAGAAATTGTCATTACAAAATCACAACATCTGAATCATTAATACAAAAGCTGATTCCTACATCGAAAAAGATTAAGCCACAGAAAAGAAAGAGTGAAAAACACTTGTAAAGCCAAAATAAGAGAAGAAATAGTGTTTACCATTATGATTTATCAGAATCTTTGGTTCTACAAAAGAAAGAAAAATTGTTAAGTTTTTCTTATTACAGGATTAAATGCTATAAAAATGTACTTAGAACGCAAAGAAATGAAGAAACTTTTTTCTTTCACTGTTTCTTATTTCCCATGCAGACATCTTCTACTTAACAAATGCTCAATTAATGGAAACTCTCAATAAAGCAAGTGGTAATTTCATTTTAAAAATAAAAATCAATTGAGAATTCATTAACTTAAAATAGAATAAATATTCTTTAACTCCAAATAACAGACTGTTACAACAGCAACCTTTTGTTTTCCAAATGAACTCAAAAAAAACTTTTTATTCATAATCATATATATATATATAAAAACTACAAGAAAAATATTAGGAAATAAAAGAAAAAATTTTAATGTAATTTATTTTAGAAGGCAGCAATTTACCAGTGAGTTGTTTGGACTAAGATTCTCACCCTTGTTGATTTGTTATTCTGAAAAATATATATATATATATATATATATATATATATATATATATGTGTGTGTGTGTGTGTGTGTGTGTGTGTGTGTGTGTGTGTGTGTGTCATTCATAGACAGTACTGTTTTGCTGTATCACAGCTCTTCAGTGCGACTAGACATCTGAATGGCTCAAGCCCAGATCAAAACCCAACCAATTTGGTGTCAGTCAGAGTTTCTACCACTGAGCTATCTTCATTTGACAGAGAAAAACAGTTAAATTTAGTGTATTGTTTTTAAGAATGTAAACAAATGCCAATCAGCTGGAGTTTATATATATATATCTATATATATATATCTATCTCCCCCATCATTTTCAGTCTATGAGGGTATAGCAACTTAGAATTAAACAACCAGACTACTTACATATGTTTTGATTATAGTATGGAAGCCTTGTGAAGAAACAATCATACTTTTTGGAAGAGCACAATACAGAAAACTGATGCACATAGACTGTCACAAGCCCAATACCCCCACCTCACATCCCCAAAAATGACTCATGTTTTGAATTCAGAATTGTCCTCCTAGACTGGGTACCATCCAAAGCTATAGGACCCAGTCTATTCTGATATTAACCCATAGCTGGAGAGAGAAGAGATGGATTCATACCTTTCCCAAAGGTATTTGCACATAAATGAATGTAACAACAAACAAAAAAAGACCCAAGTTGAATTCTATTTAGAATTCAAACTTGGGTCTTTTTTTTTCCTCAATCCAATCCACTATCCATTACTCCAACATGCTTCCAAGTTATATACATATATATATATATATATATATATATATATATATATATATATACATACACACACCATACATCCATTCAAGAGAGATGGTAAAATGTTCTTGGTTCAACCAATCTGTCTGCTGGTAGGCTATTTGATCAGATTTTGGCAAGTGGATTGGTTCTAAAACTGTTCAATACGCCGGCTTCATATGTGTACATGTATCAAACATGAGTTTCTGTGTCTTCATAATATTGGATTATTCCTACGAAATTGTACCATCTTAGTAATTCATCTGAGAGGAATTTTATATAGTAAGTGCTTTGTGAATGTAGCAATCTCACTTCACAAAAAAAAAAAAAAAACAATTCTCTATTTTTCTCACACTTAAATGCCTTTCTAATAACTTGGCTTTTTAGAAAGTTTTTCCATATTCATTACTTACATTGTTTGGACTATTGTCTTCAACTTTACTGTCATATTCATGATGTTTTGATCATTGTATTCTCTATCCTTCTTCAGGTGATATACACTGAAAATTTTTAACTGAACTCTTTATTATTCCAATTCCATGTGCCATGCTTTTCTGGATATCTCAGCTACAGTTATTTCCCTTTAGTAACTCTCCAATTTTTTTGTACACATTTGCTGTAGCCAGGTATTTAACTCACAACTCTTTTGGTCAAGTCACTGGAATACATCAACCAACATGTTTATGTACTGGGTCATGCATTTTCCCTATAAAAAGATTGTCTTAAATTAAAAATTAAAATCTATACTTAACGTATTGAAATGCCATGTTTTCACTTTGCAAAACTTAGTTTCACAAACATGATCAACAATTCTGTCATTAATTTTCATTCATTTTTGTTTTATCATTGTCTGTTGTAACTTTACTCAGGTACATAATTTATCTACAATGTACAGAGAGCTAATCACTCTAGATGCAGGTGTTAGAGATTCCTCCAAGCAGTATCACTATTACCATCCACTACCTTATCCCCAATCTTTCCAATAATCTTCCTTCCACCCACTAAAAACTGTTATTAATGTTTTTGTGTTTTTTCTCTTGAAGGGATTTCCTGTCTGTGTCTAATTTTACTATCTTTCTTGACCATATGGACCCATATTGTGCTGAACACTGGACCTTTATCTCATACAACTTCTTTTCAAACCCATGAGAGATGTTTCCTCCACTCTATGTACTCTCCAGTGCAAATATATATTGACGCTGCTTGTTTACTGTATAATAACATGCCATGGGTTGGTTTAGTCTTTAATGTATGTAACTTCCTGTTGTACAAGAAGAGGCAGCAGCATTTCTGCTAAACATTTTGTTGTATAAGAAGAGCAGGTGGCAGTGTTTCTGTTTTGACAATGGCAGAATTTTCCAAGGTGCTTGTGAAACAAAGAAATGAAAAGACCAACCATGTTTCTACAGGATGTGGGTGATCATGACTCTCCACAAATTCCTCTGTTTTGTGGCACTTAATGTTAATATTTTTCTATCCCACCCACTGCATGATCTATCATCCATTAATACAAGCTTGTTAGGTTGGTTACACCCCTGTTTTTCTCTGCTCCTCTTGTTTGCAGTATGTCATGTGAGTGTCAAATTCTCTAAACCCTCTTTCCTCATAATGTATCCCCAATATTTTAAATGTCTAATTCTGATACTAAGTATAATTTTTTCTTCTTTTTTTTTTTAACTACTTTTTTAGCTTTTGTAAATATTCTCAGAATGTAATTCTTTGTTAAAAATCAGGCTTACAGCCACATCAGTTTGAAACATCGTTTCCTGTCCGATCACCAAAGTTAAGCAATATCAAGCCTGGTCAGTACCTAGATGGGTGACCACTTGAGAATACCTGGTGCTGTAAGCATGGATGCGCAGGTGCTGTAAATGAATAATGGCTTGGAATTCTTAATCAAAGATTTGAGTTCCAATTCCTGTTGCATTCATTATATTCACTTATGCTCAAATATCTTTAGGAAAGGTATGATTCCACTTATTCTCCCCCAACTATGAGTTAATTAGTAAGACTTGTATCACTAAACCATTAATATCTCCAAAACATTCTTACAATCTTTCTGGCTTTAAATAGCTTGCAAAGGGTTGATAAACCGTAGAAAATGAATGAATCAATCAATTTGTTAAAAGTCAGTATTGTCAATGCTGATCATCAAGACAAATACCTGGAACAATAGTATACAAAAATCATCCTCTAGTATGTACCATGTGTCTTCAGAACATAAACAATCATGGCCCTTGACAACTTCCTATACTTCTTTAAGAATATTTGGCCTTTACTATCCCTCCCAATTTCTCCACTGATATTCTTTTATGCAAACTCATTAGGCCAGTTACTTGCTGTTTCTCTCTGTCCATCTAGCCTTTATTAGATCCTATGAGTATCAAATTCATCAAGCCCTTTTTTTTCATGATATGTCCAAGAAATGTAAACTGTTTCTGATTGGCATCATTTTCAAGGAAGCTTGAGTAAACAATTATACACTTGTAGAAGGCCAAAAAATGCATCTGATGAAATGTGATAAAGCCAACAAGGATAAGAATATAAGTAAAAAAAAAAAAAAAAAAAAAAGGAAAATTTGTAAGGGTTTACCTCAGAATTAACAGACAATATTTGTCAAATTGGCAATTGCTTTACAGATTTCTCTTAACTTTATGGCGGAAATAATTTTAGTATTCATGGAAAATTGTACTTTAATACAGACAGGAAAAAAAAATTTCTGAATTTCTTTGAAGAGGCATCGTTAAAGATGACATTATGCATCAAATTCTTCAGAAATCTTTGTGGTTTTTATCAGTGTTTAACTGATATATGTTCATGTACCTGTTACATTCAGTAAACATTCAAAATGCTTTGATAGAAACAAGAATACTGAAGAAACTAAACCAAAGAAACAAATGTATAATAGTAATGAAAAATTATAAATATTAATCAAATTTTAATATATAAAATATTTGTCTTATATCAGCACTTTTTCAACCAAAGGAAATTCATCACATATATCCTCAAGATAAATGTTATTTTTTAAAGTATTATCTTCTGGTATAATAATTTTATTTGCAGGAGTAAATTAATTCCATTCTTATTTATTCACAGAAATACAGAAAAGACTTTACTCCAAGATTAAAACATATCATTTATTTTGCAAAAGCCACTCTAAAAAATCCCTAGATTACAAATTTTATTTTGCAAAAACTATTTTTGAAGTGTTGAATTCAGAGGTTTTATTTTGCAAAGGCATTCTCAGAATTTTAAGGTTACATGTTTTATTTTACTGACATTATTCTTGAAATTTTGAAAAAAGATGTTTTATTTTGCAAAGGCATTCTCAGAATTGCAAGATTACAAGTTTTGTTTTTCTAAAGCTATTCTTGAAATTTTGAATCCAGAGGTTTTATTTTGCAAAGGCATTCTCAGAATTTCAAGGTTACATGTTTTATTTTACTGACATTATTCTTGAAATTTTGAAAAAAGATGTTTTATTTTGCAAAGAACTCAGAATTTCAAGGTTACAGGTTTTATTTTGCTAAGACTATTCTCAAAATTTTGAATTGAGATTTTATTTTGCAAAAGCCTCGGAATTTTAAGGCTGCATGTTTCATTTAAAAAAAAAAAAAAAAAAAAAGCTAGTTTTGAATCAAGAGGTTTTATTTTCTAAAAGCTACTCAAAGAAGGATACAAATTTTATTTAGCTGAAGCTATTCCTGAAGCTCCAAGGTTACAGATTTAATTTGCAAAAGCCAATCTCAGAATTTCAAGGTGAAATGTTATATTTTGCAAAAGATATTGTTAAAATTTAGAATCTATAGTCATTTTTAGAAGATGAGGCTATAGGTTATATAAAGCATCTCCTTAAATCAATGTGTTATATATACTTCATGCCAATAAAAAATAAAGATAATTCTGCTTGCTTGTTCAATAGTTTCTGTCAGAACTCATCAGAGGGTTTTAAATCAACCTGAACAGAAAGTCTTTGACAAAGCAAAATGAATTAAAAATAGAGAAAATGATTAAATATTTAGTGGCAAGAATAAGTTTTTGCTGGGTATTTTGTTGATCATTTTTGGCTGGTTTTGAACGCTAAATATTTTCAGAAGTTTAAAATACCTCCTCATTATCATCCGGTTCACAGCCTCTCCAGTTCTTGAACAGGAGTAGTGGTTTATCCCTTGTTACATATTTAGAATTAGGTTTCCAGTTCCTTTTAAAGTCTACTTCAACTCTATACTACTAACGTCTCTGCCTAAAACTCTAAACTTTTATTTACCATTTATTTACTTTTTTTTTCTTAATAGTAAATAATAGATAGGTTTGCCAATCATCTGGTTTATACTCCTCCCTGGTCCTTTGAACAGGAACAGAGGTTTATCCTTTTCTCATGTTTAGGACTCAGTTTCTGGTTCCTTTTAATATCTTTTCCTTCTCTTTCATTTCTGGTGTCCCCTTATGTCTTGGTGGCATTATCACCTTGCTTGAGACGGTGCCACTTATTCTATAACTGTTGTGGTAAACCCTCTTACAGTATAATGAACTCTTCCTTCTCTCATAAATACAAACTGTGAGAGTCAGACAGGAACGCAGAGTGTGAAGTGGAGAGATGTAGTAGACGCAGTGCTAATCTACTTATTACTAACGCTATTGTTTTGTATATATCTTCAATATACTTTTTTCAACTGACCTTCGTCTTCCATGTTTTTCTTTCTGGCCCCTAAACAGGCCACAACAATAACCCTCTACTTCAAGTGGCTCATGATCTTTGTACAGGGGAAACATCACAGTACCTGCAAATGACAATGCCTTCTTCCAAAAGACTGGAGCAGTTATCCTTTGTGACAGTTTGAAATTCTGTGTTTTATTTATCTTTTACTGGTTGCTACCAAAAGCTAGAGAACACAGTCTAACCTGCTAATCTATAAATCCCAAAGCTGAGGTAAGAAGAGATGGATTCATGCCTTTCTCAAGTGTATTAGTACAAATATGAATGGAACAGACAATGCTGAAATTTGAAATCAGCTCACTGATTACATTTTCTACATGACCCACACATGCTACATGATCTTCTGTAAAACAGAAAAATACACAAATAAAACAATGATGTCATGAACTAAAACAAGAATTAAAATTTAATGATGTCAATAATTGTGGTAATTTTGGCTAATCCTCATCACCAAAATGTTGTAACCTAGGGAAGGTTACTAAATAGAATAATCACATGAAGGTTGGTAATGAACAATAATACTTAGCATAAGAACAAGACATATAAGATTCGCCAGCAGTACATAGAAGTAGTAGTCACCTGCTAGAAGTGAATCAAGTGAATTCCACAATGAATCTTCAACTGCAGACCAACATACAGTATTTACTACTTTATTTATATGAATGGAGACATAGCCATTATCGTCCATAGATATGCTACGACAATAATCAAGACAACTGAAATACACAATTAGACATAATCAAACAAACTCACTCTAGGTATTCTTTTATAAATTTAAAACCATGCTTACTTGTTCTACTCAGTCACTTCGTTTTGCAGAAGTTGATTGATTCATTTTTATAGCTTATCAACCCTTTGCAGGTTATTTAAAGCCAGAAAATATTTTTAGATTCTAAGAATTTTATTTTGGAGATAATAATGATTTACTGATACAAGTTTTACTAATTACCCATAGCTGGAGGGGGAAGAGGTGAATTAATACCTTTTGTAAAGTTAATTACATGTAAATGAATATAACAAACCCTACTGGAATTGAAACTCAACTCTCCAACGAACAATTCCAAGCCATTATCCATTACACCATATGCACATCAAAGCTTACAGTAATTGGTATTCCCAAGCAGTCACCTATCTAGGCACAGACCAGACTCGACATTGCTTAATTTTAGTTATCACACAAGAATCAGTGTTTCAACATGATATGGCCATAAGCTGTTCTCCAAAGGATACTCAAAGTAGAAAACACTTTAATCCTACTATATATAAAACATCACCTTCTTTAAATGAAAACCAATATTTGATATAGATAGTGGGTGTTTATTTCACTTGACACACAACAACTTACATTTCCCATTGTCATTTTAAGGATCCATTTTCATCACACTTTGCAAGTTGTTTCAACAAAATGAACATTTCCATTAGTGATTGATGATATATGGAAGCCACACACCAGAGTGACTAACATAACTAAGCTGGTGTCAATGATTTGGATATTTTGAGAATGTTGATTATTTTTAATATTATATACAACATTATTTTCAATTTATATTACAAACCTCAACTTTTCTGACTATAAAATTTCACAAATTATTTCTAACATTATATAATAATTGGGCTTGTTCCTCCCTTCATTAGTTCACACAACTGTTACACCATTATAGCCAATACCTCATAAAAAATGGATTATTTTTTTTTGATAGTGTGGAAAAACAAAAAACATATTAGAGATGCTAACTGGTTTCAGTGACGACAAGAAAGAAAGATAGAAGATTTTTAACTTCTGCTAATACGTCATAATCAATGGACTATTGTGTGAGAAGAGAAAAAATATCAAAGATTTTACTTGGTTTCAGTGAGAAAATAAAAGAAAGAAGTCAGAAGCATTTAATGGCTGTTTAAGCGAAATGGAAAACGTTGTCAATTTCAAATCTTTTTATTTGTACCCCCTTACTTCTTAAAACAATAACCAGTATTTACATTTATGTTATTACAATATTGTGTCAGTTTTTAAGCACAAATATTTAATGATGTGATAGGGAAATTTCTATTGATATTTTACTGCTGTAGAATTCACTATGAGCGTATTCAATAATTAACTGAAGAATTAAGATCAATCAGAATTTTAAAATAGG